CGAAATAAGGCTGAGCCTGCAGGAGCGAAAGGGGGGAAGCCCCGAACTCTGAACCCATTTTAGGGTTTTTAGGGTTTATAGGGTTTTTAGGGTTTAGGGCTTTTAGGGTTTAGGGGTTTTAGGATTTTGGGGTTTTTGGGTTTCGGGGTTTAGGGTTTTAGGGTTTAGGGTCTAGGGTTTTGGGGTTTAGGGTTTCAGGTTTAGGGTTTAGGGAGGGAGGTCTTCTTTGTTTTTTAAAGGGGGGTTTTGGGGTTTAGGATTTTGTTAGTAGGGGAGATGTTTTTTCTTTGAAAAGAGGGGGTTTAAGGCTTTAGAGTGTAGTTTCAACTTAGTGTATTTTTTGAAGGGAGTTGTTGGCAGGGGGTTCAGGATCTATATGAGTTTCTGAAGTGTTTGGGGTTTGTGGAAACGTTTCCTGAGAGCTTCGCCGGGGCTTTTCAGAGAGCACTGAAGGGTTGCCGGCCTTCAGTGGACAGCTTTTGCGTTGTTATGGAGCTAAGAAGTGTCCGGGGTTAAGTTGTGTTTTTTGTAACGGGGTTCTATAGGTTTTCATCACGTGTTGATGATTTTATGTACGGGGTTTGCAACAACTTTATGAGTGATTTACAGGATTGTGTAAGGGTTACAGGTTTCGGGTTTACGGGAGTGGTTGTTTGGGGCGTCTTGCCATGCGGCAGAAGTGTTTGCTGCGAGGCATGGCACCCCAAGTCAGTCAGGGATGTGACGGGCGGCTCTGATATTTCTCTTTGCTGGGCCTCTGGGCATAGGGTTCTTATTTGTTTTTGCAGGGCCTCCGGGAATAGGGTCTTCCAATTTTATTGAGAATCGCTGTCAGGCGTATTTCTTGAGCGCACCCTAAGCAGGCAGGAGTTCGATGAGTTTTGCAGGGTTGTCAATTTTAGAGGGGGTTTTTAATGTTTGCAGCCTTTAGGGTTGGTATAGGTGTTTTGATATGGTTCAACCGCAAAGCTCGAACAGCAAAAACCTTAAGCTTTCGTCTCAAAGCACAGGAGCCAACAAACTGCAAAGGCCACATCCTCAGGTAGCCATGTGGCCCAGGATCAAAAGCTTCCCCTCCTTGATTAAAGCCTGACAACCCTAAACCCTAAACCCTAAACCCCTGTAGCCATTTTGGCTCAAGCTGTTTGGCTCCTTCAGGCTTTCTTTCTTTCTTAGCTTCCCCTTTGGCCCCCCCCCTCTCTTCCTCTCGCGAGCTCCCTCGATTGCGACCTCCTCCTTGACCTCTTCGCCCTCGGCCTGGTGTTGAACCCGCTCGGCTACTCGATTCCTTAACAAGTTGACGGCTGGGGTACTATCGTCCTGGGTGAGTTCTACTTGTTTCCGCTGGGCGAGTTCGCTGGATCGGGGGAGACTTTGGAGAGAAAGTGCCCAAAACTATTTGACTGCTGTGACGGAGGCGACGCTCTTGGTGGGTGCCCTGGGGTGACGTGACTTTGGATTTTCCTCTCTTTGCGTCCTCTTTGCCGCTGGGGTGAACTTCTGACGATGGCCGACAATGACCCCACGCAAGCCGACCCGGCTGAGATGATGGTCGAGATTGGCTCCCCCACGGAGATTGCAGAAGACGAGGAGATCTTTGCGGATGTGGACGCTGGCATGAGTCACCGCATGAGTCACAAGGTCAAGACAGAAGTGAAGCAAGAAAAGAGAAAACGAGACGACCGGCCAGGCCATGCACGTCTTCGAGCTGTCCCGGATGATGAAGAAGATCTGGATAGCCCCACCAAGCGAGCCAGCATTGGTGACGACCAGCCTCTCACAGCCAAAGAGATACGTGCCCTTCTTTCAGGTCACGTGGTTGAAATGCGTAGTGCTTGGGGGTCATTTCAAGGACGCCTTGATCGTGTCGAGGCTGAACAGGGACGAGTTCAAGGTGCGGTTGCCGACCTACAAGCTCGTACCACCGTAGCTGAGAAGGATATCGCCCATCAAAGACAAGCAGCACATGACACCTCGGTCTCCCTTGACAACCTGGCTGCTGAAGTCAAGAACATGAAGGTTAAAATGGACGAGCTGCACTCCAACAAGGACTCTGCGATTGTGGCTCCCCGGGGTGAGCCGTCAGGTGCTGCTGGCCCTAGTGATCCGTGGGCCGACTATCTTCGCCGTCAAGACAACAAGCGTACTCCAGGACCAGGGGTGAGTTCAGCCATGCCCGAGCCTGACAAGGGTGACTTTCTTTCAGAGGAGGATAGACGCACCTTGGTCATTGGAGGCTGGCTCCAAGACACGAAAAGAAGTGTCATCGAGGAAGAAGCTGCTGTTATCATGTCCATGCCGGAGATCAAGGCATTGATCGATGTGGAGAAGCTTGCGATCTTCGGGCCTAGGCGATCAGTTGGCATGCTTCGGTTTTCGCTCAGGGATGGAGAGAAAGAGACAGACCTCAGAAATCGCATGTGGCAGCTCATAAAGGCATTTGCCCAGATCAAGCATGTCCTGCCCTCCACGAGGGTCAATGGGGAAGAGCGCACCATGTGGGCAAGCTTCGTCAAGAGTCGTAATGCCCGCTTGCGCAGCGCACATGTTAGCATGATCAAGCGTGTTACTATCGCTCTTGCTAAAGCTGCTCATGCCAACCATGCCGGGGGAGTTGCTGGGGTGGTTAACGACCAAATCTCCATGTACGATTGCGATTGGAACATGGGCACCGTTTGGTGTGGTGCGCTCAAGTTAGGAAGCTCTGCTCACAGGGCTCCCCGTGACGAGGAAACGGTTACTCTCACAGGAGGCTGGGTCAGTATCACTGCTGTTTCCCGCACAGCTGGCTGCTCGACCATGGAGGCGAAACACGCCTTCGAGCTGGAACTTTGAGAGCGACGTCAAACATGTTTCACTGCGAATTCATCACCTGCTGAAGATTCCGTGCCACTGCGTCCCAAGGAACATCGGCCGTCCCGGGCTCATCCGTGTGGAATACACAGGTGGGGCCGTGCAGGACAGTGGAATCTGGCCGGCCAACGTCCGGAAATATTGGATGTGGCTGCAACCGACCTTGATCTGATTTTTGTGCAAGAACTTTCTAGGGGTGACGTTGGTTGGGAGGAGAATGACTCAGATGAGTTCCACTGGATTTGCCATCGTGATCCTTTGCACTGGAGGGGTGTGGGTGTGGGAATTGCCATTGATAAGTTTGACTCCGTGGTCCTCAAGGTATGCACGAGTCGGGGCATCTGGGTTGTGGCAAAACTGCATGGCATGGGGAGAGTCATCCTTGGATCGCTCCACTGCCACACTGGGGTGACGAACAATGTCTACCAGGCGGCTGTTAATGAGTTCCTGGCAAAGTGTCCGCGTAAATACCGTCACCTGCCGCTGCTATGTGGAGTCGATGCCAACGAGGTTCCTCCGTGGGTGATCAACGAGATGGATGAGCTAGAGATCGGCACAGGCAACCACAACTTCAATGCCCTTGCCCACGACTTGCTCCAACTTGGGGTGAACTTTGTCCCTCCTGACCTTCTCTTTCGTCACGCGCCGACCCACTTCCCGAGAGATGAGGAGCGGGAGGGTAGACAGATCGATGTCATGCTGGCTCGTCAAGTACACCTGTCGCCCCTCACATTTGATGCTGAACGTCGCCTGGCAATTGGGTCCGACCACGCGCTGCTCTTCGCTGACATCATGGTTGCATCGGGGCCCACCAAGAGTAGGTGGAACAGCG